TGAAATTTTCAAATAAACCATTGCTTTATTCACATCAAGCCGCGTTTGAGTGTAATTCTTCATTATTCATCACAGCCTCCTCCTCCCCAGCTTGGTCTGGACGAGCTGTCCTGAAGCCAGGACGAAAGAAATGGGAAGGCCAGAAGCCTATCTCCATTGTGGGATCCATTGGTTCCGTTGGAACTCAGATATGTGGTTGCCATCTACTTGTGTAAGACAAAAATATTTTCTGTGTTATTGTTGCTCGTGTCTGCATAATTGAGTGTTCACTCTCTTATTAAGTTATTTTGTCTTAAATCTCAACTCCTCATTGGGGTGATTTCTGTACAAATAATATTCTGTACAATTGTGGATTGTTCTTTGGTTGGAAATTTGTAGTTTAAAATTATTCTGACGTTGGGGTTTTATTTAACATTGTGTTTGAGACTTTATCAGAGTTGTTTTTCTAACACAACTCTTAGTCAAAATCTCTTATCTTACTAATACTTCATTTATTTGATCCAGTAAATAATCCATCCTATAGCTGAATCAATGCAAGATACCTTCTACTTTTTTGGGGCACAGTGTTGGACATCAGGTGAGCTTAATTAAATGGACCTAAAAGAGAGAATTGTGTTTCCTATAGAATTTCCACCATCACATTCTTCCGTTTTAATAATAATGGACAATTTTCAACCTTTTCACTTTTCTATAATGGACAAGCAGGTGAGCTTAATTAAATTGGAAAGCTAAACCAATTGTTATTGCATATAGTAGCAATTCTAGGACTTGTTAATTCAATGATGGCTTTGGTGGATACGGGAGTTCGTATGTGGACTTTGATGTTGGCTTTGGACCTTGCCCTTTAGGTCGCCAGGTGGTTATGGGGGTTTTGGAAGCAGTAGTTAGAAGGCTACTGAGGTTGAATCATCAATTGGTTATTCTAGTCGTTTTGGACCTTACAGTGATGGGTTTGGTGGGGGATATGACACGAGTGGCTTAGGACTTAGGAGGATATGGTCAAAAGGTTAATCCTTTGGTTGTTATTCAACTTTTTATTTTTTCTTGTTTCCCTGTGACCAAGTAACGAACCACCAAGGTGGAATAAAAAGCAAAATAAGAAACTGACTTTGTAAATTAAAAACTTTGATCCAAACTATTATACCGTTGCAGTCTTGAAACCAAATTACTAAAAAGGATGATCAATGTTGAATTTTTCTCCCACTACTTTTAATAATAACTAGTATAAATGCAACTTTGTTGTTTTGATGGTACTTAAAAGTTTGTCATTTTAACATGTGGTAAGGAGTAGTATATTGGAAACCTCCAAAGCAGGCACTGAGTGAAGTAACAGAACTTGTTTGGGAGCCTTCAAATAGGTGGTTGTGTGCTGATGAAGGTATTTTGAGCTGACAGAGGCAATGACGGGGAAGGTATATACATTTTTATTAAATTTAATAAATTTGAGTACTTTGTTGGTATGACTTTCCAGTTTTCTATGATTCAGAGACTTCTCTCCTACTTTTATGATAATACTTATAAAAGTAAATTGAATTCAAAGAAGATTGCCAGTGAAAGAGAAAGAAGAGTTGATTGTTGATTTAGCAACCTGGTTATCCCCTTTTTGCTGTAGACACAGTTTAACTTCTCTTTGTGTATGTTATTTAACTTCGTGTTTGTTAATCAGGTATTATATTTGAATTTAATGTCTCTTAATGCATTTGTTTATTTGTAGCAATGATGTTAAGGAAAAAAAAGCTAGATGATCCATCAAGTTACATACATAACAACTTCAAAAGTAGCTAATACATAGTTCAAGAAGAAATTGAACGAGGTTCGAATAGAATGGGACAACTTTTGTTAAAAGATTTGTGTAGGCTTATTTATGGATTCGTTAAGTTTTTTTGTTTGATGTTAAGTAGTTGAGTTACTTTTTGTCTCCATAGAATTGAAATACTTAGAAATGTTGAATATGTTGCTGAATGTAGTTTGTAGAGYATAAGTCGCCATATTACAATTATATTACGTATATAGAAGTGTTGGATGTTGCTGAATTTAGGTTTGTGAAAGGAAGGGTGGTCATATATATAATATTGTTTGAAATATATGGAATATTGTTGCTGAATATATGTAATAATTGAAATACTTAGAAATATTGTTGCTGAATATATGTTATTTTTCAAATTTTCTATATATAGTGTCCTCGACAATCAGATTCTATCGAGTGTGGGTACTATTTGCAAAAGTATATACGAGAAATAGTGCGGAACCCTCATACTCCTATTACTGAACTTGTACGTATTATCATATACCTTTATGTGTTTATATATGATTTGTCATTATATTAGTATTATCTTTCTTTTTCTTTTTTTGTAGTTTAATACAAAAAGTGCCTATCAACAAGAAGAAATCGACGAAGT